TTTTTTTTTCCCTTTTTTTTTTTTTTTTAGCTTACCTGAAAGCTCTGCATTTTCATCCTCCACTTGATAAGTACATTTTTCCACAAAAGAATTTTGGTTTGCTGGAATACACTCATATTTCTCTGAAGTGTCTTCATCTTTGAATCTACAAACAATTTTTTAAAAATTACTTTCAAGTACAACAAAAGGTAGAACAGCAGTGACTGCTTTTATTTGCACAGTCCTTGCACATGTGCACAGTAATTATTTCCCTTTGTACTGCAAAAGAGAGAGCTGACGCAACTCAGACCCCCTGTGCACAGCACAGGCCAGCCCTGCAGCACAGCTTCTAGCAGCGAGGGACCAAGAGACGTACTCCCAATCCTTGCAGCTCAGCAGTAGGACACCGATTATAACCAGAATTTCACGCTTCCGCGCTGTAGCATGGTAAGGCTGGGAGAAGATTTTTATGAAATAAAAAAGGGAAGATCAGACTACGTGACCTAATCGGCTTGGGTGACCTTAATATCCAAGAAATAACGACAACAACATGGTCAATTAAAATCACCAAAATCTTTTTGCATGTAATTTTAATGTGCTATAGGCTTCACACCAAGACGTGTTGAGCAACTCCTGGCTGCGGTGTGAGCTGAGGTCATACGGGAAGCAGCGTTGATCGAAGGCAACTTGGAGCTACGAGAGAACAAATTCTTGGAAGTGCGTTTGGAGAGCTGTCATTGACAGGGATATTGATGGGAAACGAGAGAAACAGCCACGAGCATGCGTTGGTGCGTTACTCCAAAAGACGTGGCAGCATCCTTAAAAAGATGTGGCCAAGGGAAAGCAAGGATTTGTTGCCTGGATTAACGCTGGTAGCGGAAACTTAAAGAAGTAGGCATAAAGTGAGCTGTGAGAGTAATTTTTGCAGATGAGATATGCCCATATTAACATCAGTAAAATAATAATTAATAACTCCAATGAGCAAAAGGACTAAGTATCCAAATGCAAAAGGGTTACACTCAGATAGCCACACTGCTCTGCTGTCACATACGTAGCTAAAATATGCTTTCAGAGATCTTGATCTTCTCTAAGTGAAGTCTCAGGTAGAAATATCAGAGCATTTATAGACCTAATCCTTCCAAACCTTCCTGTCATATAGAAGGAGGATTTTCATAGTCTTGTTCCCTTTGGGGAATGATGCCTCATGGTGCTGACAGGCAAGACAGAGTTTATCTCCTTCCAAATATTTATATTCAGCCCACAGGAGAAGCACATCTCCACTGTAACAAGGCAGCAGGCACCGAAATGCTGGAAAAGCAGCTGTGACAAACGGTCTTCCCCGGGTACACGCTGCAAATACATGCACTGGCACGGCACGTAGGGAGGATGGGGCAGGGACATCGGCTCAGTGGCAGAAATCCGCTGTTTTGCCATCAATCTCTGCATAGATTTTTCTCTTACAGATGATCTCACTAAATCCAGGCGTACAAAAATTTGAATTTAGCCTGTGCTAATGATCTCTAGACTTCCTTGAGGAGACTGTGAAGTTAAACTTGCAATTGCTTGGTCACTTTTTCACCTAACAGAAGCAAGGTTTGAGGCAGTGTGTATCACCCGTATGCATTTCCACAACTGAAACGGGATTTGTGTCACAGCTAAAGCAGGTTTCCAGTTTGTCCTTCGTTTTAATAGTCACATAGAGTAATCTCGACAAGCTGACACACCTCTGGAGTTTCAGCTTCACACCCGGGAAATCCTGGGTGGGATGGAGAGCTGGCACACCAGGTACCTGTTGCGGATGTCCCATGTGTCTCCCCTCCCCGTCACCCCTCAACGCTGCCTGACCCCCAGCTGCGCTGCTGCAGAGTTTGGGCAGCTGGGGGAAACTCGGCAGAACTGATCTCGTTGCTCCTTCAGTATTTCAGGGGAAATTTTTAAGAGCGTAAGATGGACAGAAGACTTTCTAAATTCAGTCTTTAGCTTACACTGCATGTAGGGAAAGAAATCTGCTCCCCACGTGTGCTGGATTGCTTAAAATACTGAGCTGAGCCTAGCCTACCTCATCATCTTAGCACCGAGAAATACTAGAAATACACCTCTGCCGTAAACCGAGCTCCATCGATGTGTTATTTCATATCAAAGTAAGGTTAAAAAGACTCTATCGCCTTTAAATAGTCACTTAGCTTAATCACAAGCTTAACTCAGCCTGTTAGAAAGATGCCTAGTGTCCCACCTACGCATATTCTCACCCAGCATTATTAACAGTGTTATTAATTACTGGGTGTTTTCATACCTTTTAAATAACAATTTTCATTTGTTTTAAGAAGAATGTTTAAGTTTTACCTTAACGGGAAGGTTTGAAAGGAATCCAGAGCTTGTCCTTTGCAGCGTGCCTGTGGAAGTGGAGGTGCTGAGCCTCCCTGGGATGGAATTGCTGGTTGTTCCAGCGGCTCTCAGTGGTCCTTTGTCCACGCACCCGTTTTTTTCACTCAGGCCCTTCTGCCAAAAGGCATTCCTCACACCATCACTTCACTTTTCCCCGGCTTCCTCCCCCCTTCCTCCTTGGCAGAGCTTCGCATTTACTTATGTTATAAAAAGCAAACAGAGCATATTGTTGTTGAGTTGCTGGAGCAGATTCTCTGAAAAGTTACTCAGGAAATTCTTGAGTCTTGGCCAAGAGAAGAAAAATGAGCCCAACAACAAACCACACAAAAATCCTTTCTCTGGCAACCTCTGTTACGTTTCTCAGTGCAGCAAGAGAGGCTGAAGTCAACAGAAATATTACGGCACACTGCTGAAGGCGGAGTGAACGGTGACTCTTGCTCATCTCCAAATAGCAAAGGTTGTGTTTGCAAACTTTTTCAGTGCCACCAGCCCCGGTGTAGGAAGAGCAGCGAAGCACTGGATAGGAACAGCTTTTCTGATTACAAAACATATTGTAAACATTAAAATAAACTTCTCTTGACTAACTCTGTGCTTCTAAAGGGAATGGGTTTGATTTCATCCCCAGGCTGAGAGCGTGGCTGTGGAGCACGCCTGCCCCTCCGTCGCACACCACAGCACCCCCTGCCACAGCAAGGATGAGGAACCGAAGGTGGAAGGGAGAAGCAACCAGCTGGGACAGAGGCTGGCCTTGCAAACGCGGAGGAGCTGGATCTGCTTCCCTTTGCTCTGCCTGGCTGAAAAATTTAAATAACATTCAGATGTTTTAGAGCTAGGCAGACTCCAGAGGTGTTCTAAGTCAGGACACAGAATCAAGTTAAGACCCGTCACTAGTACATGTCCTCGGTATACAAACTTTCTTCTTCTCTTTCAGTCCCTCCTTGCAAAGGGAAAAAAAAAAATTAAGCAGAGAAGTGGACATGCCAGGTGCCAGTCAGCGAATCTCAAGCAAAGACACCTCCCTGCCTATCTCCTTGACAGAGGCACTGATGTTTGGAGATCCACATGGAAAGCAGCTCTCTGGGTGTGTGGGGTGGCTGCTTTGGGGGGTCTTTCTGGCAGGAACAGCCCAGTTCCTGGGGTACAGCAGCCACCTGCTGGTACCTGCTTGCCCACCTCCCTGCCTGCATTGCCTACACACGCATCTGTGGCTGCGTAATCCACCTGCATCATCCACGCCTGCATTGCCCATACCATACCTGCATCATCTGCACCTGCATCATCTGCACCTGCATCATCTGCACCTGCATCGCTAGCATCATCCACATGAACCAGGGGAGCTCATGGCGTGGGTGAGGGTCTTGCTGCCGTGTCTGTCCCATGGGATGGCACTGTCCCTGTCCTCCCATGGGTCCCCAGCCCAGCATTTCCCAGAGGCTGGGGGCGCTGGGGAACAGGGTGATGGGGCACCAGGGGAAACATCTGGCTGCCTGAATGTAGGGAGTTTCTATTTTATTTAATTCTTTTTATTTATTAGTTAAAGCTAGCCCTGGCAGGCAGATGTCCAAGAAGAGATGCTGATCTGCTCGGATAAGGTCAGGGTGCTGGTACTTGCCCCCATCTCCCCACCAGTACCCCCATCCGGCCCAAGCACCCACAGAGGGTGGGTGCTAGCGAGGAGCCCACCCCATCTTCCAGACCACCAAAGCAAGTCAGACACACGTGCTATGGCCAGAAGACCTGTTCAACCTACTGTTCTGCTCCAGCTTTACTTTGGGTCAAAGCACATCTTATTTTGACTCCAGATAATTTTTTTTTTTTTTGAAAGATGGTGCTCTAAGAGCTGCCAGTTTTCATTAAACTTTTCCAGGAATTGCTGAGTCCCTTCCTCTCTCTGTGTCCCCAGTGGTGGGGACCAGAGGTGGGCCAAGGTGGCTGAGCTGGAACACACAGCGACAGCAGATTTTTGGGTCAAAACACAGCCCCGCGCACCTCCACCAGAAAGCACCACCCTCATTGACTGCGTGACACCAGCTGGAAGGATGCTTCTCAGGACTGAGCGAACCAAAGCTCTGGTGTCCTCCTGCCATGGATGAATGAGGGTTTCAGAGCCTCCTCTGAGTTTGCACATGATTCTCTCTTAACAACTGAGCCCCCCACACACAGCTGCGGTGCCTGCCTTGCTGCCTTGCGACCAACAATTCATCCCGGCAGGGTTATTCCTCAGCACAGTGAATCTTCATGAGTCAGTCTGAGCAGGGGTACAGATGAGTGGCAGGCGGATAAAGGCTTTATTTATTAAAATAATAATTCTTTTTTTCTTTGTGAGGCAGAAAACCTACAAGGTTGTATTTGGTGTGACACAGATAACCCAAGTCCTAGGGCTGCATCCGATCACACGTATCAGTAACACCGATGAAATATGCCGAATATTTTCCTTTGTGGTTCCCAGGGCTCAGGGGTGAAGCAGTCTCTGCCCCACAGCCCCGTCAGACACCGCATCTAGGTCGTGCTCCTCTGGGTCCTGGGTGAGGTCTACAAACACCTGCAACGCAACGCAGTGGAAACGACCCCATTATTGCCAAGGACTGACAGTATTTACGCTGGTCACAGGCTATTTCTTCTTTTTATACAGGCAGTTTCTAACCTGTAACTTCTACATCAACATACCTGTTGCAGAGTGTGCAATGACAAGCTGTACTCCTCAAGCCTGAAATTCTGTTTAGCTGTGGAGGGATGGAAAAGGCATCCTTAAAAAACAAATCCATATGAGCAATTTGAAAGCAATCTTCATACTTAATTCATTGCTTCCTTTTACCTGCTTCTAGCTTGGAGAAAGACTGGGACAGAGGTAGTGCATCTTCCATTGGTATCTTGTAGATGAGCAAAGAAGAAGTCCTGAAAAAGGAATAAAAAATGAATTCATCATTTTGTGACTCAGCACCAAGGTTTAGGTTTGCTTGTAGGGTTATTGTACTCCCAGGTAAATTATTGAGCAAGGTCAGTAGGAGCAACAGCGTCCCAGCACAAGCCTGGGCTGGGTGTGCAGCCCACGGGGTAGTGACCTTTCTTGCCGAGCCGCGTGTGGGAAGAGGCGCAGAATTTCGGTGTGGAGAGCATCGTTTTGCCCCATGTCCGTCATTTTGACTTCTAGGTGGTAACTTGTGCCAAACTTACTTTTCAGATCCTCAAGGGAACCGATGTACCTGCAGAGGAGGGAAAAGTGTTCAAATCAGCATAAGCAGCAAATAAAGCAATCATTGGATATGAGCAGCAGATGCACGTCCTCTTATTCATCATCTGTTTATACTGTGCTGCTGAAACAACCTACCTCCTCACAAAACTATGTTTGTTACACACTTGGAACAATCCAAACCAACATTTTCTATTAGATTAAGAAGAAAAAACAAACAAACAAACCCAAACAAAAAACCAGACTAAAAATCAGGTGGCAACCCGGTGAGCGATGCGACCCTGGTGCCCACCGTAGCTGCCCCGACACCAGGATGGCCACCCGGTCGCACATCGCCGCTGCCTCCTCCAGGTACTGCGTGCTGAGGATGGCTGCCCGCTCCTTGCCTTTGACGGCGGTCTGAATCACTTTCCTGGGAACAGAGGGATGGCAGTTACTTCCCAGGAATAGCCAGAGAAAAGCTCCTGGTTTATGTCTCCCTTCCAAAAAACCAACTGAAACGATAAAATTATAAAAAAGTGGATGACTATTTAAAAGACTTCAGTTATCTTGCTTGAAGACGACATGTGGATGGCCAATGCTACGTTGCAATTTGTCATGTCAGCACCTCTCCAAAGTTACACTTTCAGTGCAAACTGTTGAAGAAAAGCTAGAGCAGGCACTAGGGCTGAGTGATGAAAAGGAAGACCTACCTATACTTTTTTCTCATGCTCTGAGGAAAACAGGAATTTTTGTCTTTTGTACCAAATGCATGGGTTCAGCTGGAGTCTGCTCAGATTTTTTGGGTGCACTGCTGTTAAGATTATATCTGATGGTTAGCAAGGACTTGCTGCCTGCTGAGTAAGGAGTTTAGCGAGTGGCACCCAACCCCCTGTGCATTGGGAAAAAGGGAAAATACAGATGTACTCTGCCACCGAGGCAGAACCTCTTTGCTTGCCCAACAGTTACTACAATTGTGAGGGTAACACCCACCCTGTTAAATCTGTTATACAGTTCTCAGTTCTGCTAAAACGGGGCTGCTCACCACATGCGGCGCTGCCCTTTCAGGTCCATGCCCACTGACGGCTCATCCCAAAGCATTACTGTCAGGTCTCCCAGGACGCTCAGCGCAAAACACAGCTGAAATGGGAAAGACACCGAGGTCAGGTCAGGTCTGCTTTTACTTTACCTGCAAAACTGGTGAGTTGTCCTGCTACATCTTAATCCCCGTGAGATTCTTTTAGAAGCTGAAGCTCTTGATGCCAAAAAGCAGGAGGAACAGGGATTAAAAAAAACCAAAACCAACAAACCCCACTTCAGATGTTCTTAGTTAACATTTTAATCCCCCAAAATCAGCTTTCCCCAAAACTCCCAAGCCTACCAAAGATCTGAAAGTGGTTTTCCATCCCATTTATTGGCAGATGCATGCGATGGGGCATAAAGAGGTGATTACCTTGTAAATCGAATTTGTGGTTAGCATTTATTAAACACACAGTGTGGGAGAGTGGGGAAAGAGGAGAGGGGGGATCCTGCCAGGCTGGATTCAAAAGCTATTGATGAAAATGAATCATGCCAGGAACCCACTCTGCTGTATGTGCTTCTGGGTTTGAAACCGTAAGGATCTTTCATGAGCACACTGAATTTCCAGAAATTTTTATTCAGCTAAAATTTTAAGCTTCACTTCAAGAAGAAAATTTCTACTTTGTGAAACAAAAAAATAAAACTTTTACAACATCAAGAACTATATTCTGCTCTCACTGACACCAGGACAAGGAACCCAAGGCGTCCTTGAGCTTGAATGGAGGTCTTCTGTGCACCAAGTTCAAGGAAGAAAGAGCAGGATTTGCTCAAGTAGCAAA